TCTAGATTATTATACGCCCTGAATCTCGCCGAGGCAATACGGAAGTGATTCGTATCGCAGAGAACGATAAAAATGAATCGTGAACGACAGAACTATCATTTCGTACGCACGTAAGAGTGAAAGTTTCGTCGAATACTTCTCGTATTCTTGTCTGAAGAGTGTGTCCGTGTCTTCTCCATAGTTCTTTCAGGCAGAATTCTGAACGTGCAAATTTAAAAGCACGATAGTTTTTTTCGCACCAAGTGTCGTTAATTTTCGTACGTTAACATCGAAACGACATTGTCGCAACGTTATCCAGCTTTTGACTTTATTTAGTGACTGATTCTAAAATGTTACAAGCTCAAATACATATATGTCTTTTTATATTCATTCTGCAAATTGATTCTTACTCTATACATTTTAAAATATAAATTCTAGGACCTCTAGAACTCTGGAATTAGAATTCTAGAACTTCTCTATGTCTCTACAGATACATCTAGAACTCTCGAATATTTTTTAAAGTTGACAGTGTCTAAATGGAAGGAAGGAAGGCGAGCAGTTGCTACGCGCAGTGTCCGAAAAATCTGCCGGTGAAAGCGATATCATCGCGTATAGGTATTTATAGGGTTAGACCTGGGCCGTCACCCTCTTATGCGCAAATACCTGAAGAGGGAGCAGCCAGAGGGAGAATTCTCGTGATCTCTTCGCATACGATTCCCTGGACGGCCTTTCGGTCCGAGCCGGGTCTGGTCTGGAACGCGTAACACGCATTTTTATCAAACGTTACGAGCACTGAAACGAGCCGGATGAAAACCAATATCTTACTCCCGCATGGGAATTCGCCGCCCGCTACCAAGCGCACTGTTTTCTCGTCTATATTCCATCCCTTGTTTACATACGTTTCGCTGATCTTAGGCCCTTCGAACTCGAACCTATTTCCAAACGTTTCCGAGCACGTCTGGCAATACCTCCGCGTGAGAAACCATATTCGCGTTAGCCTAACACGCGCCGCCTATTGAATGAACCTTGAACGCCCTCGCAATCATTCAATGAATTTCCACGTGTCGAATGTGAGAAGTAATGAAATATCTCGAGTGTCGTTCTTTGCGTAGTCTGTAGCTGAATGATTTCTACTGTTAATCGTAACTTTGAACATTGCCCACATCCGACGAACCATGATCGCTTGAGGAAGATGATTATTCGTATTATATTGTACGTATTATTTTCAAATTGTGGATATTCACAGCTCTTATATAAATTCATAGTTATATTTACGAATGTCACTAAAGAAATGAGATTTAAGTAAGTTAAGATATTTAGTTCGTGTTTAAGTAATTACATTTTGAATATTTTATGTAGGTATACATTTGCACATTATATGCATTTAGTAATAGAAATTATATTAATATCATCTAATCTCAATTATTATTATCATCTTATTTTATTGTTAGTTATTTTTATCAATGTTCAAGAAAATTAAACCCTACCCTGACTATAGTATTATTATCTAATCTTCTATTGCCATAATTTTTTTATACTATTGATTATCTTTGTCAGTGTCTGATGAATCTGTAAATACATAACTTTTCTTATTATCTAGCCTCGTGAACACGTATATTTCGCACATATACCTGTCATAGATAAGCCTAACTATAATATCGTGGATATCTTTTGCGCATAACGCTTCAAAAAGAATATTTTCCGTCTCATCGAGTTATTTATCATTTTCTATGCTTCAGGGTTTCGCGCAATCTTCCGGTCGTAAACCAAAGTTCGCGTAACGATGTACGATCGTGTAACGCATAATACGCGGCTGTCGCATAATTTTCTCGGCGAAAGAGGCTGTTTCATTCTGTATGCGAGATTCGAGATCCACCGGAGAACGAAATGAAATAAGAAGAGGGTACTCGGTTGCAATAAAGCATTTTACATCTGTCACGTCGGGGCAATTTAGTTAAAGCGTACGAGGGGCAAAAGGTGACCATCACCAAGGGTAGCAGGCACGTGAGTTCATGTAAAAAGTTTCTAATCTTGAGCCTCCGGGCCAGGATGAAGAAGAGGGAGAAGGATAAGAGGGACAACGATAAAACGAACTCTTCCAAACGTCCCCTCGGATACATATTAACCCTTATTGCACCCTTACGAAGCTAAGGACACCGTTTTCAGAATATGTAAACGACCTTTCGAGCAACATCAAAATCTCGGTTTCCGTGTCCCTCTTTTCTAGATTCCGCTGCTCGCTTTCAGATTTTTATTTATCCATTTTATGATCTTTACCAGTGCGAGTTCATTTTCTTTTATTAAAATCGGTTCAATAGTCAAATAATCAAATAGTCTAATAGTCAATTTAGTTGTGACATAATAGTTCATTTTCTTTTATTAAAATCGGTTCAATAGTCAAATAGTCTAATAGTCAATTTAGTTGTGGGAGTCGCTTTTAATGGAAAGTAGCTTATATTAATCGACTTTTAAACTCGCCATATATATATCGTTGTGGGAATTTGTATTTTTCTAAATACATCAGAAATTCGATTCACCTTACAAAAAAGTATCAAACTTTAAACATTTTATATTTCTGCATATTCTGTGCTATCCTATACATTTTACCATCGTTGGTTTATAAATGTCTGCAATAATTTACGTTGGGTTAGTGAAATTTTCGATGCATAATTTCATTTTGTATTTGTTCCCTTCTTTCTAGATTAGTAATAAAATCAAACTCAAACGTAAAACCCAAATTGTTAAAACTCCGATGACCTGATTGATCTAACGAATTTTGTATTTCGTCTCTTTTTGCTAAAAAATGATTGATTGGAATTGAATCAAATTAAAAACTTCAGAATCAAAAACGTGTAGCCTAAGCCGTTACACTTGACTCTAACCCAATGATTGTACCAGTTAAGGATTAATATCATCATACACGCACAAACATTCGCAGCGTAATTGCCACGAAATAATGAGACAGTTTGATCCAACGAAACGCAAAAGGTAATTCGAATTTCATAACTGGCTATCCGGATACGTTTTAGCAGGAGGCGAGAGAAATGGCGGGACAAAAATCGCGGCGAAGCACAGAGAAAAAGTATCGATTTAATATTTTTAGCGGCTTATCGTAACTAACGGGCCGCGGAACTGTAACGGGCGCGAGCTTTCGGAAAGTATTCAATAATTTTCGCACGTCTTTTTGAAATCGTTTTGGCGGCGAGCAGAGGGAAAGAGGGTTTCCCTCTTTACAGATATATAGGTATCTCTACACAGCGATACGTAAGCCCGCACCGACGCCGGGATTTAAACTCAAGCGTGGAAAGCTTATACAAAGCTCCAAATTTATTGGATGGAAATCCTCTCGGCATAAGCGTGCAAGTTCCCTACAGGGGGCAAAGTTGCTCGGTTGGATTAACACTTTCCTATCTTCTACTCAATGCTCGGCCATTCCCGGCTAAACTTCCCTCGCCGGTCTTTCTACTTATTCATTTCGCTCCGGATTTTTGTTGTCGAGTCGCCTCCTGAATCGCGTTTTTCTCCGTTCCGTCTAACCCGTGGAACGTCGCGGAACAATAATCTAAATATGTCTCTTCTTCGGCAGCTTTGCGTTTTCGAATTTTCCGACGATGACGTGAAGAAATCATTCACAGTCAACTTGATTCTCACGTGATTTACGTGACGACGCGATGATTTAATTATATACTGACTTTTTATTAATTCCTTGATTTCGTTACGTAAGCAAGCGATTAATATTCAACGATCTTGAGAAACGAATAATTCATTTCACCGTAATGTTCGTCGTATTTCTGTGTATCTTAATCTGCGAGTAACGTCATCGCTATTTCTTTCAATTTACGGGAATTGATCGATGTAATTTTGGAATTGATCGGGAAAAGATTACAGAAATCAACGCAATGCTCCTCAGTGGGTTAAATAGTTAGAGTTGAAAGTATCGGAAAGCAACTAGTTATCTCTCTGTCTTATCCTAGAATAGATAATCCTCTAGTCTGTTCAAACAACATTCACAGACTTCTCGTCGAAGTACACAATTACCTTGGCAATGATATCTTTCGAAAAGATCGCTTTTTCAATCTCGGTGTGTCCTCAGCTCAGCCTATAGGCTCGTCCTCGATTACGAAAACCTACATCGTCGAACTTGCCTGGCGGGATTTGTCCGAAGCGTGGCGAAAACGCGGGCTTTTCTACGAAGGAAATACTGACCTGAGGGAGTTCCCAGGATAACGCAGACCGTGGCCGCAAACAGCGAGGAAAATAGCATTCCGCGTGAAAAATATCTGGTCGGAAAATTGTTTGCAATTTTTAAACGCGAATATCATGGCTCCGCGCGCCGCATATTTTCTTCCGACCGCCATTGTCTTATTTTTTATTTCTACGTTTCTGCTGGTCGTTGGAAAACGATATTAGAAACATTTTGGTATATTCTGGAGACTCAGTTGCGAGGAAGAGGACATAACTGGAAAAATATAACATTTGAGTTATCGTTGTGAGAATGTTATGGAGATACTGCTCGAGCAATTTACGAAGATCTTATTATCTTCAAAAATTCGACTGACAGAGAGCAATTACAATGGGTAATACGATAGACGACCATAGGAGAACTTTCATGTGTATATTATTTTGAAATTTCATTAACATTTTAGTGACACGACTGTCACAATTATATTGATAACATTTGGAATTAATTTGGAAATGTATGTATTTAATAAAAATTTGTACATATGTCTGAAATGTAGATGATACTATTTTGATATTAACTATACTTATTTTCATACTGGTATGATGATAAAATTTTATAAATATTCTTTGCGAGTGACTGTATATCAGTCTTTTAGATTTATGTGATGCACTTTCTTATATTCTGTAAATTTAAATTCCATTCAAAAACTGTTTATCGCTTCTCCTTAAAAACATATCTTCTCGAGAGCGGTTATGGCAAATTAAAGTTGAAAATCGTTTGAGTTTAGCCTATTTAAAATTGTACTTGTAAAGGCGTTTAACGTAAACGACGGTTTCAGTGAAATTTCCGGAGGCATGCTCGATCAAACGTTCCATTTCTTGGGCCATCTACGCGGCGGATAATGGAGGAAACCATTCATAAAATTCATCAACTCTTATAGAAGGAAAAAGTCAAAAGCAAGGAAAATCCTGAAAGAAACTCGAAGGATCTGGAAGGTCTGCAGCGAGCTAGTGGGCGGAGATAATGGCAGTCTTGAAATTGGATTATCAATCTCCGCGGCTCCTCGACCTCTTGCGCAGGTATTCCCCTTTCGTCTTTAGAATTAAGATCAACCCGGCTTTTTCTGAGGACCCTCGCTTCCCGAACGTTTCCAACTTCCGTGCAAACCTACCCGGAACCATCCCCACGATACAACGGCCGTTATTAACTTTACAATGAAGAAACAGGAAGGAGAAAAAAAGGAAACATTAACCCTTGGGATCGAATAACCTCGTAGAAACAATTTCTGATTCATCAGCAACATTCGCGAACCTGTGCCTCCTGTGATAGATGTCCATCTTGCGATTTCCAACGTTATAGAAATATTGAACGGTTGTAATTGTAATTTAACGACAAATCTTATTAAGTTTAAAAATACATAGACATAAAGCATCTATCGAGCACGAAAACGAATGTCCATTATATTTGCTAACGTAATTTGGAATTTAATTGAATCATCGTTGAATTGCAATTAATATTGTACAAGTTTTTAGTAAAATTGAAGAATCTAGTCGATCTTTTCTCTTTTCTCTTTTCTTTTAACGTAAAACACGATTTTTTTAAAAATCGTAAATGGCCAGGGGCTATAGATAAGCTGCAAACAGCAAGAAATTTTCCGTGTTGAACCGTCGAGAGAACCAGTTTTTCGCGTTAGCTCGCGGCCGACTCGCGATTCTCTCGTAACCTAATCCCTTTTATTCGCCATGAGCGAGGCGGTGCGTGTCGGAGGACCCCCCCTCCCTTCCCACCCTTTGGTTTCCTTCGCCGTACCTTCCAACGAGACTGTTTCTTTCCGAAAAGAAAAGAAAAGAAAAGAAAAAAAAAGGGAACGGCGTGGCATTTATGGAGTTAACATTTCTAAAACTCGCCGGTTCAGCCGGCATCTAGCGACGAGAGGAAAGAGAAGCGCGCACGAGGCCGGAGTGCGAGGGGGAGGGAGGAGAGGGCAGAAGCAAGAGGGAGGTAGATGGAGAAGCAAAAAAGATAGAAGCGCCAGAGCGAGTTTGGTGGACGGGGGTAATGGCAGTCTTGGAATTGCGTTATCAATCTCCGGACCCCTCGGCCCCTCGACAACCCCCTCGCCGCCCCTACGGCCACTATACCGTAGACTCCATTCCATTCCATTCTCCACCCCTTCCCAGCGCTGAAACCATCCTAGAAACTCACCGAACCATCCCCCCCTTTCCCATGCCAGGGGAAAACCCCCCCGTGAAACACGGGGCTTCCGGCAATGCTGCCGCGCAAGCCCTGTCCCCACTTCCACCCCCTGGCGCATGACGCTCTCTATTCCCTTCGATGTATATGCATGACACCCACACACTTAAACCAACGTCTTTTTACCGCCGACTATCTTTCTCTCTCTCTCTCTCCTTCTTCCTCTTTCCTCCTTCTTGCTCTTTCTGTTCCACCCTCCTTCTCACAACCCACCCTTATTGCGTTTTATATTTTCACCGGCCGTTTCTAGTTTCGAATTGCACGGTTTTCTTGCGTTTCGTTAAATACCCTTGATCAAGCCCGCCACTAGAATTGGCAAATGGATTCGTTTCTTCTTCTGGTCTTTTCCTTTCTTTCTCTTTTTCTTTTTTTTTCCAAGCCAGCTTCTTTTGAGGAGGTTCGTGAGGTTATCAGTTTCAAGGAATTTACGTTTAATAGATCATTCCTTTTACCTTCAACACTTGAAAGTATCTTTTTTTCTTTTTTCTTTATCTTCACTGAAAGTATTTCCAAGAAAGAATGCCCGAGAAGAGCAACGAGTGACAAACGTCCACTTCCTATTTCGAGTATTTTCTTCGCTCGGGCGCTGATATCGTGCTAGGGGTAGTAACGGCAGCTATTGGATACACGAAAGTACCATTATCTGCTGCGGTATTAGTCTCAATCTGATAACGGTCACGTTAATTCCCCTGATCAACGTTCGCCGAAGAAACAAAATATTCGCGAATGGTTTGGCGCAGCCATCGAAGGTGTTTAATTACAATTTTCCATTATCTAATGTGAACACGAACTTCTTTCAACGACCGAACACCTTCCGATTTCCCTTAATTTCAAATAGAATACCTATAAAAATCACACCTAGTAAAGCCCACTATCCGTAGAGTTCACAGACGCCTATTAAATATATTCTCTCTCTCAAAGAAGTCTTCTCTTTTTCTTTAGTATTTACTGCATATATTAAAATTTTTAAATTGCATGTATATTTTATAACACGATTGGTTTTTTATAACACTAACTCTCTAGAAATTCTTCCGCACTTGTCTTAGAACTTTAAATTTGAAAAATAAAAAAAAAAACTCCCTCATCGTTCGATATTTTAACAATGACCCAAAGTGTAAATATCTACTTTGCTACTACCATGCTTCATAGACTATGACGTTTCTATGACGTTTTACAAAACGTTGTCAATTTCCAAGTGAAGGAAAACCAAGGAAAGATGACTGGCGTTGGACAGATTGAAAAGAAATCGAAAGGGATTGAAGGCGATGAATGCCAGGAAGATAGAGGCGAGTAAGTCTACCGTGGTGAGTGACAGTAAGTAATGCCATCAGCGACGGTGGCATGCACGAAAGAAGACAAAATGGCGCTGGGTGAAAGGACAGACGACAAGAGGCGAAAGGGCGGTTTTCCTATACGCTCACGAAATGCCGCGACCGGGCTACCGACTCGATAGCGTATCGCTTTCCACGGACCCAAAGGTTACCGAATCGTTTCGAGACTATCTTAATGGTTGGATAGATCGTTTGATACTATGGGTGAGTCGTAAAGGCTATTGCTCTGCCCTCCGCCTCTCCACCACCTCTGCCATCGCGTCTTTTCAACCCCTCCGCGAAGCCTTCGACCAGACGAGAAAGCTGGCTTAGGGCCACCCGCACGTTTCTCGTCCCTCTCGTCTCACTCTCTCTCTCTCTCTCTTTCTCGCTCTCTGTCTCTTTCTCTCTCTCTCTCTCTCTCTCTATACGCACCTCATTTATACTCGAGCAAACGTCGACACTGAACGCCTCTTAAGTCGATCGGGAATCGTAGTCCCGGGCAATTAATTGCCGTGAATCGGTTTAACTGCTCGTTACGAGCTCGTGACTCGCTCTCGGCTCGTTTTTAGGACGGTTTTATCGCGTTGCTTTACGATCGTTTGACGAGTTATATCACATAATTGTTGATAGCTTGATTAGAGACATTACGGTTCTTATGCATTGATTCAAATTATGGAGGTTATGAAGTTCGAGTTAACTCGAAATTCTAAGAATTTGCAAGTGTTGTCTGTAAAATTTATAATATGATACCCATCTGAAATAAATTTCAACAGTATTTGTGCCCTTGTCTCACTATCTGTAAATGTCTTAATATTTATGATATTAATTATATTATATAACTACTTTCTAAGATGGTACAGATAGCCTAAGACAGTATTTGGAACTTCTATTTCATTTATGTAGTACAGAATTTAACCGAGGACAAAGTAGATAAGTATACGCCACAAAAATATGATAAATATGTAATTTTTAGCAATGATCGAACGTAGAACTCGTGCCGACGAAATCGCAGGGATGAAAATGATAAAGTACAATATCACGGTGAGCGTGCATATGGATGAGCAAGAAAAACGAGAATCAGTGAAAATCGCTCGGCCCGTTAATGTATCGTTAATCGGTTGTCCATAATTCCGAGCCGTTCGCGGTTCTTATCTTCGTAAATATATCGAAATTTCCGCGCGGCCGGTTCCGCGGTAATATTTTACGCGATTTCCGCGGGGCGTATTTAAAGGCGTTAACAATAATTAAAAATTATGTTTACGAGCACGGATTAGCCCGTCGAGTTTGCCAGCCGCCTGCTGTATCGTTAAAAATATACGAAAAATCGATCGGACGTGCCGTATCGCCATTACTCCCTCCAAGACTCGATGCAGACGAACAATTTCTCTCATTCCGATCTTACGTCGACGGTGTTTCCTGTCGATGTGTTTCCATTCTCTTTCACAAAATATTTACAGAAGCATTCGTACCATTCTGCTGCGATTACCATACTTTGAATGGTTCGTTGAGACGATACGAAGTCGCAGCGATGCCGAACGCGAGGTCGCAAAGACGAAAGTCGAGCCTTACGCCAATTTCAACCTCGTTTTTTCGTCGGTTCGCCCGGATGAAAGCGAACAAGGAACAAGAATTGAACAGCCGCAGTGTATTTCTCGCGAAAAATACGAGTGAAACTCGGCTGCGCGGTTTCGAAGCGGGAGAGGCCGGTAGTATTGAAACTAATTAATATCATTCTCCCCTCTTTTGCAGTGACATTTATACGCTCGGAACAATGCGAGCGGCGTGTAACTTAATTAAGGCAACGACGCGGACCTGACCGTGGCTTTGCGGCTACCGTTTCCCTATATCCGGTTCGCGCATTATTATCTAGTCTGCTCTCTCGCGCCCTTTCGCAAGCCGTGCGAAACGCCGCAACGCCCGCCACCGCCGCCGAGAATTGTATTTGTTGCGCGTTGCGCGTACATTTAACTGCGCTCCGTCTTCCGTTAAATCCGTTTCCCGAGGAAAATGGCCGAACATTCATAGACACCGTTCGAGATTAACCGAATACGAAATTAGCCGCTCGACGCCGTTGGCGCGATGTATTTCATTTTCAACACGGTATTTGAATCGAAACCACCGGTAATTTGCGATCGTTTCTTTCTTCGAGAGAAATTTGTAAAACAATCACTGAAGTATAACAATCTTATATCAGGTGGGAGAAATGGGAAAAGGTTTTTAATACAAGAGGAAGAGCATAATATATTTTACGAAAAATGATCAATTTCTGTAGAAACTAATTTTTGTAAGTTGGTAAAATTTGTACGAAAAGTTATAACTTGGTCATTTTGACCGTTCTGATCGTTGAAGAATATAAGAAATTTTTAATCTGATTTAATCTTTGTAAGACAGAATTTTAGTAATCCATAAATTTTAATAACACACTAAATTTTAATAATCCATAAGTTATACAGCTATAATTATCGTTTGTAAGTCCAACGATACCATTCGAGAGTTAACACAAAAATTGCTAGAACAGTCGAAAAGACTAGTCCATAATTTTACTTTGGATAAGTAAGAGCATTATTCCACTTTCAATCCTCTGGTAGTTTTATATTTTAGTCGTTGGTAGTTTTTACATTTAATTAAAACACAACTAACCAGAACAGGAAGGATCGCGAGACTCGATAAATCACCGACAAGGAGCACTTGATCGAATCGCTCGATAAGAGTCCGTCCAGACAACCTTCTCGACAAGCGGAGATGACTTTACCGAAAAATCCGATCGAGAGAAGATCAGCCACTCTTCAGTCTCTATCACTCGACTCCATATACCACGGACCGTGCTATCATTAACCAAAATCAAAGCAGCGGCAGTTAGTTCTGGTTGACTAGAGGAGACGACAGACGAAATCGTAAAATCGCGTTTATTTGGCCGCGATCTGCGACACCACGTAGCGTCGGTAAACTGGCTACAAGACAGAAGACATTAAAACGTCAGATGTCGGATAGGTAGCCGCGATGGCATTGCGCGTAACTGTCTGATTAAAGGCAACGACTTCAATATAAATGAAATTTACAGCCAATCACGGAGCCACCTATTTTACATCGTCGACCGGTACACATAAGAAGAAAGAGAGAGAAAGAAAGACAGATCGTCTCGACCGACGGAGTCTCTTTGCTCCTTCCGTCTTTTTCGGTCTTTCAGTAGACGCATTCTTCTGTCTCCCTTTCTCTCTCCGCCGTTGTGTTTGCTCTCTTGGCTTCCTTCTTTCCCGCCCCTGTCATTCAAAAAGGTGTCAACGACAATCGCTTTTACGAGATACTTATTAATTGTTACTGCGCTTTTACGACGGCATAAAAGCGCGGTCTACGATCGTTTGAGTGGGCACGACGGTGTAAGGGGGATTCCCCCGCCGGATTATTGCCTCCGATGAGGCTATACGACGTACATATAGCCACACACTGCTGTACGGACCGTCTCCTTGTTGATTCCAAGATGGGGAAAACAATGTAATGATCGAGAGAAAGATACATGTGCCTGCTCTCGAATCGGGCCAGCGAAAAAAAATCGACGAAGTCTCAGACAACCGGTTTTTCATCATTTTCGACACTGCATCTTGAACGACCTGTCTTTTTCTTCCTTTTTGCTATGCAATTTATTTTCTTCCTTTAAGTCACTTTTTCAGAGATTGTGCTTGAGTCATTTGACATTGAATCGTTCAACGAATCAGAAGCTGAAGAATTTCTTAATTGCCTCGATGTTTTTTTTAGAATTGGCTCGTTATGCATCGGGATTTCTTATTTATTAACACTGGGACTACCGACGACTAAAGTGTAAAAATTAAGTTCATAATAGAATGAGAAGCAGGAGCTATTATTTATATAAGTCGGTGCATCGAATTAAAATTTTAAAGAATAGCAAATAAATAGCATTTAGAGATGTAAAGGAAAGCAATTTATATTCATTCGAACAGAGAATAATGTAGTGTGTTTTCTGTATTGACTATAATTTATATAAAAAATCATTCAAAACTGCACTATAAAACTGTTGCACCATAAAAAATTACGAATTGATCATTTTCATTGAAATTTTTCTCATTGTGTCTTTCTACCAATTGTTTTATAAAATTAGCTAGCTATAATTCTCGTCCGACTTGAGCAGAATTCCGATTAAGGGTTGTAGCAACGTTTACCTTGCTAGCACAGCAGCTTGCGGTGCTACATATGTGGCAGGGGCCGGTGAAGAGCACTTTAATACTCCTCGAACTATCGATCTAGCATTGTAAACGAACGACAAGCATCTCCAACGAAATAAATTGGCGATAGTTATAAGAAGCGTTAGTCTTTTACTGAGCTTTCTCTGTCAAGTTACGTGTCTAGTTTTTTCACAGTTTCACGCAAAGACAATGTATGTGAAACCTTGAACAGTTCATCCCATGGGCTTTGTTCAGCGCCTTTATCCATGAGAAGTATTTCTGCCACCATATAAAAAATAATTGACTGACATGTTGTATAATAAAGGGGAAAGGACTCGTGGGTAAAGGAGTTTGTTGTTTCGCTATCATTTCCTCCGATTACTCACCAGAATATTCAGTATATTCTAAAATATTCTAAATACTAAAATATAGACACTGGTTTCTATAGTTTAGAATAATATGGATGTTAATTTCTATGCTTCAAAGAATATGTGTGGTAAATAGTTGTTGTGTTCTAAAATAATATATATTTTCATATTTTTAAATACTATAGGCATTATTTTCTATATTTAACACTAATATTAATGCTGTTTTTTATATTATGTTTCAGATTACATGACGAGCCACGAAAAGAAGAAAAACTTCAAGTATCTAATGCCCGATGAGAAACATGGTAAATTACATTTCTTGTCTTTTAATTTAAAGATAATAATTCAGTACAGATGACTATAGAAATATATTAAATTACTAAAATTTTGTATTTTTCATATTTTCTATGATAAAGATTACTAACAAGATTCAACTAAAAATTGGCCCAACGATATGAAATTGGGATCTAATATTAGCTAGCTTAATACCAATATTAATCATCGCAAACATTGAATTTTACAGGCATTTTCAAAAAAAAAGAAAAAAAAATCACCAAAAATAAACTCCTCGTATTTTTCCCCTTTTCGACTCATAAAAGTAGGAAATCGAATTTTCTGCCGAGAAGGAGAGAGAAGGGGAGCATGACGAACGAAAGGAGGCGCGTGTCAAAGGGCGAAACCACAAAGAGTTGTAAATGCCGGGCGTGTGCGACGGCGGCGGATGACGGCGCAGTCTAGGCACTCTAAGCTTTGGATAACGACAACGAACAGGCAACTGTAATGCGACGGTGCACGAGTAAAAGAGAGTTTTTCTTTTCCTTTGGCTCGTAGCCCCCGCCACGGCTTATCTCCCTACTAAATCCAGCAATTTTAATACGCGTTTCTCGGCAATTTCCGTGCTACACGTTCCTCCGTCGACTTAGCACCCCTTCTGACTCGAATAGCTTCGAGCCGTTCCCTTCTCTCTCTCTCTCTCTCTCTCTCTCTCTCTCTCTCTCTCTCTCTCTCTCTCTTCCCCCGCCGCTTTTCCCTAACCCTCGACTCTTCTTTCCTGCCTGCCTGCCCCTCCTTTAAATAAACCTCATTTTTACGGCGCTATTTAAAGCAATTTCTGATTTCCCTTAATTCATTACAACGTCGTTCCCTATAGCCCCCCTTAATGCGTCATAGGCATTGCTGGCATTTCTTAATTCCCCTCGCCGCTAATTGCCGCGCAATTCACCCTGTTCGATGTTACCGGAATTCTTTTGGATTTGATTTTTTTCCTTGTTTCTTCTTTCACAGAGGGTGGGAGACGTTCCGACTCCCCTGTTTCAATTTCAACCCCGCTTTGAGTAATTTTGCGTTAGGAGGAATTGGAGGAACTACTACCTCCCTTTTGTACGAGAAAGTAATGTTTTTCGACGATTTCTTGGTGGATTTAATTATAAAAAAGTTCGCACTGCATACTTTCGCATCGTACATGTTCGATATCATATAATTGAAATCATCGAGGGCGAACGTCGTGCTAACGCAACATTTCATTCGCGATCTTTTTCAATGAATTTATATCGTCAGATTCTAATTTCTAATTTTATGCGCCAGGAAGAAGAATTTTAATTATTTTTCATCTTTCACTTAGATGTTATAATTTTTCAGGATTAAATTAAATCGAATATTATGATACGACTTTCTCGTTGTTAAAATCTAAATTCCACTCAACTACCGAACTCGTTCTAATGATTTGTGATTAAAACAAAAAGAAAAAAGAAAAAAAGACGCCAAGATTTCTGTCGCGGGCGTAGATAGCAGGAACATCGTTAGGGTATCGCAATAATGATCGGTGATAAAGATGTGGGTTAATAAACCGATCGAGGACCGGTCGGAGCTTCCAACGGCGAGCAAACTTTCTTGCCGGGGAAATTGAGTCGGATTTGAGTTATGGGAATGGCGTTCGTCCCTCGTGCAGGAATCGGCCCTGGTCTAGCGGAACCCCCCGTGTCTATTTCGAACCCTCCTCCGCCCGCAACACATCTATCGCCATTACCAGATCCAGGCAGGGAGGGAAACTTGTAAATAAAAAGGAGTAACGATGACGTAACCGGCGTTTCGCGGTTGCCGTGGGTACCAGCCACGCTCTCTATCGATCTGCACCCCGCTACCGTGTCAATAACAATCGATTATTGTTTCAGGAGTTGCCCGTAATAGGCTCGGTGTCTTTATTTTTCTTCGTTTTCTCGCACGATGAAACGCCGCCGTTGTAAGTAGCAAAGTTGGTTGCTAACGTCGCTCGGAGCGATTCCCTTCGACTATCGCCGCAGAAACGACGAGCGATTTTTTCCTCCCTATAGCGGGACGTGTTTCGGGGCAAGGACAATTATCGAAAGTAGAATGAAACGCAAGTGTTATATTTGTTTCAAAACCGAAAAAATTGAATACCTTAGACAAGAAAGAATTTTGTAAAGTGTTTAATGTGTGAGATATTAAAATTATTCGACGATAAACATTGAATATTTGAAGTGAAGAATTTAGTAGAAACATGTGTATACAGGATAATTTTGATAATCTTGATTTGATTCGAAGATAGTGTTATACTGCTAATGATTCTATCCCGCAGACTAGGTGTTAGCTTCAATTTGAACTTTATTCGTTTGAACGAAATTTCACAGTAGTGAAAAAAATTGCTGCTGTTGTACAAATATAGCAATAGCAATCTATGTTAGAAAGGAAAAAGTATAGAAATTAATCACATACTATATATCGTTTTCGACATAATCTGAGTTAACTAAAGAAAGATTCAATTTATACCTCGGTGATCCAAAACATTGCCCGACATTGCACAAAGATAAGAAACACGTCATACGATAAAAACCGTAAAGATTCTTGGATTGTACTCTGAGCCGATTCCCACGTTACACTGTCGGTGGAGACAATTTGTATCAGTTCGTGATCATTATACATTCATATCCAGGCGGTGGAGATTTAAGCGAAGAGCGAGTTTCTACTTTGCAATAAATTCAAGCTTGCGAGGCAATTACTCTGTCCGGCCGTAACGGCCGCTAGTTTGAGATTAAAAGAGAAGAAGAAGAAGAAGAAGAAAACGACGACGACGATGGCCTCTCGTCCCCTCCAGGCAAAGGTAGGACAGGGTGACACGTTGTTGGCCGCAGGTAGGCAACCAGATAAATATGATTTTTGTGTGAAACCGTGTGGAAGATGCGGGATTTGATCACCAAGGGTGGTCCCTGCGCTCGTACGTCACGCGGCACTGTTCTTTCCCATCTCTCCTCCCTCCATTGCTTTTTCGTCCTTTGACTTCTCTCTGTTTCTTTCTGCCTTCGCCACCCCTCTTGCCAACACAACCGGCAGGGAAGAGGATCATCGCGATCCATGGACAACCAAAAGACATTCAAGGTCCCGTGATGTCGTTCGTCACTTTACCTCGAAAGGGGACCGAGGGCTGCTTTTCTCCGCTCTCCACCCTTTGTCTACCTAGAACCTACCTACCTTCTTTCTCGAACGCATCTTAATCTAGATATACCCAGCCTCTGACCTCTTCGCCGTGCCTTCTCTCGGTTAACAACTAATCCTATCTCTTACCGAAAGAGCCGTCCCTCCTTCTTTCCTCGGTAGAAGCTTTGATGCATTTCCTTTTCTCCCCACGTTGCTTGGTTCTTCTCGCGTCTCGATCGCACCAAGCGAACTCTGCTCGCGAGCAACACACGGCAGAGCAGGATCGACAGGTTTGTACGACAAGCTGGTTGTGCCTGGTCGTTTGCAGCTAAAAAATTCTTTCTCCTCAGCCCCTTTCAGCCAGAGTATACCGCCGCTATATTTACGAGCTACGAACCACTGGAAGGACAAGGATCGCTGAGAATCGTACCGACGATCTTCCCCGGCTATCGTTAATAGAGTCGTTCGTTCGATTCTAGCCGCGACGCTCGTATCGAAACCTCCCCCCCGCCCCTCTTCGAGACGATTCGATTTCGCGCGCCACGCACTCACTCCGCCGCCGCACTCGCACCGCCGGCCATGATATTCACTTTCGCGGAATTTACGCGTGCTTTTACGGTCGGATCGGCGAATACTCTCGCGCAGGCGAAACGGAAATTCCGACCGTTGGCTCGCGGATCCGCTCGAGAATTTTACGAGCCGATAGCGAGGACACGCGAGGAGAGTATAAAGGCGGTGAGTTACGCGCGATGGTAACGAGCCGATCCGCGTCAAACCGGATTTATCGCGGAACCCACCGTGCTCTCCGACCCTCTAATAGAGCGATAAACACGAATTCTCTCGGCCCTTGTCCGCTAATGGCACTCGTATATATATATATATATATTCGTGTTGCCGGCTTTCGTTTATCCGGGGCGTTGCGAGAAAGAGAGGACGGATAATTAAGATGCAATTAGAGAACGCTGTTTTTTCCTCTCTTTCTCTCTTTGTTCCCGTTTCAGGATAGTTTTTACGGAAACGGAGAAAGAGCGAGAGAGGGGCCGAGGTTCTGGTCTCCGGGATAAAAATTTTAAACGAGGGCCACTCTTCGGGAAGTCCGTATCATCTATTGTTCCTGGCCGACGTTGCTACGACGATGCTCGCTCCGAGATTCGCGGAGATTTACGAAGCAAGTATAAACATTGAGAAGATTACCGGCAGAGCTCATTTTAAGTTCTAACGAGCTCCCCTCGGCTGGGTGTCGCCGGCATTATCAAATAATTGAGAGATGTAACTCAGCGCTATCTCCGCTGAACCCTCCGTATACCGGCCACCCCTATTCTTGTCACTCTTTTCCACCAACGCGAACTTCCCTACCGTAGGATAGATCGATCCTTTGCCAAACCTCTAACATCCTGTTTTTGTGTATCTTTCAAGACTTTTCCCGTCTCGACTACATTCATCTTGACTTGTTTCGTTCATTTCAATTAGTTTAAAATTTGCTTAAAATTGAAGTATTGTTAAAATTAAAAAAAGACTGATAAAAGTGTTCTTAGAAATTTCCCTTTGAGCAATACGCGTCTATGAATAATTTTTATCAAAATTAAACTACCCCGTTTCTTTTTCATTTTTCTCGTTTCTTTTTTCAACCATAAGTAGCTCATTCTTAGAAATTCCCGAAGAGTTATATTACACCGTATAACTATCCGAGTCTCGCGACGGATCGCGAGTAAAAAGGCGCACGGGCGTTTTCTCCCCGTTCGCCCCACTCGGTTTGAATTCAGTGTAACGAAGACGCGGCATCCTCGTGGCGCTCCAACGAAATATAAACAAGATCCGCGCGCGGCTTAATGCGCCCCGTACGTCACGTGGAAAGATTAAACAGTTAATAAGAATAAGAGTCTTGGAGCCGTGTTCCTCCCCCTTTATTCCACGAACGGGGTTTCTTTCGTAGGTCGCCGGCCACGGACAACGGAAGAGCAACAGAGAGGAGTTGAACCAGCGGCGGAGGGGAGGACACTTCCACGGGTGGTTGGAGGGAAATGGCGGCCATCTTTCCCACGGGCTCTTCTCGAGAACCAATCGCCTTTCTCCAACGAGCATTAAGGCGGCAACTCTCGCTGAAGAATTGCCTCTGCCACGTTAGACACATTTTTCTCGCTTTTCCTTTATTCTCTTCTCTGGCTCCAGGAGTCCCGGGACTCTTGCGTCTCTCTCGGCCCCATGGCCAGCCGCTTGCTTCCTCGCTTCGCTCCCGTCTTTTTCCCGTCTCTCGCCTCTTCCTGTACCATCACCGCGCCGCGTCGTCATTTCGCATCTCTTATTTTCTTTGTACACCCCAGACCGTGGCCCCCGCTGCATCCCTCTTACACTTATTCTTCGTCTTCTTTCTCCACCGCCGCTGCTGCTGCTGCCGCCACCGCCCTCTTTCTTTTCTTCCAACTTTCTTTTCTTTTCTATCATTCTTTTCTTTTCTTTCTTTTTTTTCTCTCTCTCTCTCTCTCCTCTTCTTTCCTTTACGCTCGCCGTTACGTATACCCATAGTACAGAGGGGTATAATAGTGTTCATCCCTGAAGTGAGCTCCATCGAGCGGCAGGTGGCTGACCTTAATAACGCGCGACGCAACGTTTCACGGGCCTCTCACTCTCTCACTCTCTCTTATCCTCTTCTCTAGGGATCGAAAAGAAATTGCGAGTGTGCCATCTATGAAACGTCGGATAGAAGATTTACTATGGCGACACGGTGTTGCGGATATACTGGCGCGGAGAAAGCCGATACCTTGGATACCGGTGAAGGGTGAAAGGGCTGCTAGCTTCCCTCGAAGCTTCCCTACTTGACGGCTATCTTCTGTGGGAAAGTTTGAACAATCGATGCGCTGGCTATTATTACCTTTCTACCGTGTCTAATAAACAGCTCGTAGTGTGACGCTTGATGTAAACGCGGCTTGAGGCGAATGAAAATGTCCCTAGATAGAGTAGCGTTGCAGTCTCGTGCTCTGTAGAATATTATTTTATTGCGCCATCGGGGCACATCACAATGTATTCTTGAGAGTAAGCTGTTGTTCGGTGAAAAGGTGCCTTTGTTCGTTGAAGAGATCGTAAAACGAAATCGTATATCTAACTGATCGAGCATCGGGGAAAAATGCACCGACTTGCAAATTGGAATATTCTCTGGGTCGCTTTTCAAAGTAATTTTCTTTCAACACTTTTGATTTTTAATGAATTTCTTTCACGAAGTTGTTAATTTACAAAAGTTTACGAGTAATTTTTACGGGGTACCGAAATTTTCCAAAGCGGTTTTCTTTGATTAAATGTTGAGAACTTTCACCCACTGGTCTAATCTTCTAGTAAAAAAAAAACATGCAACGACAATTGTAAGCTTCAAGCAATATCCTTTGATTAAATTGCAAATTTATCGTTATTACTGTCTGATGTAGTCTTTAAAAAGAAGAATGTGCACGAAATAAAATTTGATTCTTTGTGTTCACGAAATGAAAGTTAAATCCACGTAGTCACGACACATTGCAAGATTTATTTTTTTCGTTTCTCTTCTCTCTTTTCTTTTTTTCTTCTTTTTTTTTTGCGAAAAGTAACAGTGAAAAAAAAGAGCAACAGCAAAAGGTTTGGCGAGCAGGCAAACGTTCAAATATAAAGGTAGAAAATGTTTTTGTTGACTTATACAGTGTGGTGGGCAGCATACGTGTCGCTGCAGTGCTGATACGATGATATTCCGATACACAGCGGTTTTATTCGTTTTATGACTTCTTTCGCTGCCACTGTAGAACATTTCCAATTCATGAACGAGTATGTTGAGCCCGTAACGAACACCGCGTTACCATAGATAGTCGAACAGCAGTAGTTGAGATTGTAAAACGCACGATTCTGTGCTTATTGTTAGAAAAAAACTTTTACTCCTTGTGAAAACGTTGTTCAAATTGTCTTTTAATGATCGTAAACAATTTCGATCAATTATTTACGATTTTATTGGTAAATAGTTGTATCAAAAATAAAAATGTTTTTTTTTCGATGACTCTGATTTCATAATTTCCTCTTTATTTACAATTATTATAATTTTATATTAAAATGTTTTATATTCATTCTCTCAAATGATATATTACAAAATGTAATCAAAAAATGTAGGTGTTAATGTAAATTCCAAGCAAGAGGAAAGTAATATTACTTTGAAAAATAATTTTAGTGACGGTTCGAATAATAAAGGAATAACGAATAGTATAATATAAAAATATAATATAATTAATGTTTAAATTCCAATTTAAATTCCAATTAGAAGAAAAAAATATCTCGTAACTTTTGACAACATCCCTTCGTTTAAACTATCTGAATAATAAACGAATAATAAACAATATAATGAAAAATTTAATTGCCACGTTGAATTTATAAATCCCAAGCAAATCCCAGAATTTATCATCTTCAAAAATATCAGGGAAATATTCAAGCGTATCTAATCGTACCTAAGGCGTGAGCTAAGTCGCTCAAAATGTCACAATAAAAAACATCGTAAAAGATAGTCACCAGCCACAAACAAGCAATCAGTTGCCACTATTCGTATTGTGACTTCATTCGGAATAACGAGAAACTATTATCGGCAAGCGGATAACTAAGTCTAGCCCCTTTTTCGCCTAGGTATCACGGGCAAACGTCGAACGGCAGACGTGAAGAGGGCAGATGTTCCTTTTCTGAGTTTATGGCAGGCAAGTTGGCCGTGCTGTACCGGCAGCTCTCTCGCAAAGTCGTCAAAGACTTTTACGAGCGGGTAAACGGGATTTAAAGTGACGATGATGCAACCTCAAGGTGCTCACTTTATCCTTGACGGCCTCATAAATGTAACTGATGACACTGCCAGATACGTTTGGCTCGTTCCGTCTTTTCAGTGCCGCCACCCATAGAAACATCATGGATTCTGTGTTGATGAAAACGGCACGAGACCTCACTTATCGTTCCCGCTCGTAAAAATGAAACAGGCCTATTGAACTGGATTAACTTCTCGCACCTTTCGACGTCTGTTATGCTTCCGGTCTTTCACTTTTTCCATTGACAGATAATTTTATATTCGTTCATTGATCACTATTCGATTTAATAAACTTACTGACATATAACAAATGATTTTTCTCGTTAATTATATGTACGGTATGAAATTTGTTATAGATATACGTCAGAAACGAGTACGGATAAATTTGAGATGAAATTGAATAGGAATGTGTTATTGGGAGATTGATTTTTAAATAATACGGGAAAAATTGTTAGTTTCAGTCGTTGGAATTGGAAATTTTATTGAACATCGGTTAGATCGCAGTGCTACCAGAATTCTAAACAGTGGAAATTAAAAATCACTATATACCGCAACATACTGTGGCGCCATCTCACCAAAGAAATCTCAAACCGAACGCTGTACATTAAGAGTCTAATCGACAGTTAGTAACACCATCACTTACCTTTTAAAAAATATCATTCGTAAATTCACGCGCGAAAGTCAATTTCTATTCTTCGAGATAATTAATTACTACATTCATAATCATAATCACTTGTAAATATTAAATCAATTATTCTATGCAATATTGATTAAAAGAAGGATTGAATAAAATTAAAACAATCTTATTCTACCCACAAGCAACGAAACTGTGTTTGTAGCGGATAACGTAAATCAGAATAAAAGTAATCGTGAGAAATAACGTAAGATGCAGTAACGGAGGCATAACAGGAATCGTAAAATGCAGGTAATACCAGTGAATGGCATTTGAGCGCTACTAGCACCATCTACGATCGCTTACTGTTAACATAGGATAACAGCTGACGCGGTCAAGCAGCGTCGAAAGTTTCGCGGGCAAAAAGTATTTCAGTAAAGTGACGACAGATGGCCCAATATTCCTCGTTCGTGTGGTCCATGTGAAACGGTGCAAATTCTTTTCCGTTGATTTACGATCGAATTAAAATTGACAATTAGTGTTATTGTACCGTCATATAAGGAGGTAACAGATAATAAATTCGACCGTAAAACGTTAAACTAGTGTGGTTGCGTTTTGTAAGGCTGGTTTAGTGCTGAGTCGCGTGCAACAGCGCTCGTTAAAACAGCCGTAAACCGACGCGATGTAGGTTGTCCCGGGACGACCAATATCTCGCGATCTTATGGTCTGTGCCAGGAATTTCCCTTTTAGAATATTCTTTTTGTCACCATTGTGCATCTTTCCATAATTTGCGCAGTATCGTGGTGTTTTGGCTTATTACTGGGGCTTATTAATTTTGAGCGATAACTTTTTTATAAAATTAGAGAAAATACACTTGTAAATTTGTTATTACGAAATACATGAGCATATTTTACACAGAGAAGGAATCGTTTAAAAGAAGGAATCAACAATCGTAGTAAACATTTTACAATCTAACTACGTTGTTGATTTATGGTACATTCGCGTCTACAAGATCCGCTAGGGACATTTAGTGAAAAATTATAAATATTTATTCAGTGTCTATTTTATTCTAACGTATGTTACAAAATTGTTATACAAATAATATAATATTATTTAAAGTAATTTAATATTACTCCATAATTGAGTTTTATTAAATTAATTAAAAATTTTACGATATCGATATTGAGTCTTACCATATGATCATTAGACTGTGGCGACATTACCATTTAAGTATCATCGATCTAGTTTGTGCATTGACCGTAAGAGTGGCTTAGCTACCGATTCCTCGAAGACCATCTGAATGAGAAATTACCAAAAATAATTACGTTTACAAGTATAATTGAATATTAATGTTACAAACAAAATTAATATTCAATTAACATTTACAAAGTTTAAGTAATTCAGATTCAAAAAATCATTAACTGAATTTTTCAGTCTTTTGATCTCTATTATATTGTAACACTTGCAATTAACCTTTTTTTTTTAATTTTTTAATAAAAATTGATTAAATACTAGAATAATTTTCAAAAATGTGCAGAATCTCTCTTGGAATATTCTTTTTATAATAATAAAGGATAATAACTTTAATTACCTCATACCTTTGTCTATAATTTTAGAAAAGTAGTCAAACCCGACTTTATAGCATTAACGAATATTGCCATTGAGCTGTTCTAAAGCTTTTTACTGGTATTCCAATCCGGTTCTAGTAGACTCGTAAAAACATAATAATTTAATCTCCCGTTTAAACAATCGGCGTAACGCTGAAAAGGCGTTGTTGGACAAGTGCAGGGTGGAAAGCGTGAGAAAACTAGAAACGGCAATTCTATGCTCGCGGCTTCCGAAAAAGCAACGGAAACAGCACGGTGTGCAGTCGCGTCGGTTCGATTAGCCAAATATAGATTTACCGCCGGAAACAAACGCGCGACTAAAAAAGGGGCATCGGGGCTGTGGCTCAACCTCTCGCGATTCCCTACGAAAATCAATCCTGATTTATGCCACGCGATCGCGGCGGTTTCGCTGCCGAGGGAAAGAGAAAAATCCATATTTAAACAGTCGTCTGATTCGCGTTGTACCGCTTATTCAGCCAATCGTGGGATCGTAATGGCCACCGGTGAGGTCGGTTAAGTTCGTGGCGCCGTCACTAGATGTCGTCGCGATCGAAGCTCGTAAATTGTCTGCAGACTCCCGCCCATTGCATGCTGGTAGGCGGTGCCATGGCACTTTGTGACGTCAGCCATATCCCCACCAGTTCCCTCTGGTGGTTCGCCCCACTACTATTTCACCCCCCACCACGATTGCCCCGTCAAACTACTACACTATACCGTGGCGCTTTCGGCACTCTTCCTTCCCCACCTGCGCTGCTCGCGTTCCGTTCACCAACTTTCTACGTATATACGTGGAATTCTCTCGGGTGGGCCAGCATCCCCGGTCATCTTCATAAATGCGAGTCGGCCGTTTGAAATGGTATCGAGGCTAATTCGAGCGGCGCTTATGCGATACAGTGTTTGTTTACTGCTTGCTAAAGCGGCCCGGATTAAATATAAAACAGAGTTGACAGAGCGTAGACGTCGGGCTAGACGGAGTGGCGCTAGCAGTAAGCCGCGACACGTCACCCGACGGCCGCTCATCCTTCTTACTTACAGATCCCTCAAAAATACCGTCTATCCGAATCGTATTGTTTCTGTTGCCGGTTTCACTCTTTTATTCTCGATTCTTAATTTCTCGGTCAGCTCTGGTCGATTATTAAAAATTAAGATACGGAGTAACATTGGCTAAGTTTTTATGATTCGACAAATTTGCTAAATTTTTACAATCTTGCGACCAGAGTCTAACAGCTACAGCCTTGTATATGGTTGGGCGTTCCCGTGGATGTATATATATATGTGTGTGTGTGTGTGTGTGTGTGTGTGTGTGTGTGTAT